AAAAAAAAAAAAAAAAAAACTTTTCTGAGCCTAACTTTAAGACGGCCTACACACTGAAACATCAAATATTATAAAATACTACCACAAATCTAATATCACTAGAACGAAGTTTGGAATTTAAGTTAAATAACAAAATTTAAAAACAAAAATGCATACATGGTATTCCCAATTTTTAGGCTTGTTCATTTTCTTTATTCTGTTTGACAGAGACTGCCGCAAAAGAGTGGTTGATGCCTCAGGATACTTCTTATCAGTGAAATCTGGGGGTAAAAAAAATGTGAATACTCTTATAGGCTTCTAAATCGAAAACTCATAAACAGGCAACCAACAAGAGCAGGATGAATTTTAATAATTTCGGTGCAATGTTTAAAATTAGATGGTCTTAAATTATGGTAATCTCTAAAAAATAAAATGCAGATACCTTAAAAGTAGTGGTCCAATAAAAGTATTAATTTCATATTTGTTATTTGTACAAAATCTAAATATAATCTTAATATCTTAATATAAGTATTCCACTTGTAGCAAAATATTTTCTTCATTAACTGTCTAATATTAAAGTTTCTTCCTTCAAGTGCTATGGAGAACATATACAGTAATACCCGATTCACACGTACAAAAATCTTACAAAATGTAACCAAAAGTAACATTTTACGGCACGTGTGAAAGTACCTCCGTGTAATATCCTTGTAAAATCTCGGAACGTCTCGGTAATCTTTACCAGCCTCGCTGAGGCTGGTAAAGCTTCCGAGATGTAACATGGATGGATCTGCGCATGCGCAGGGATTTCAACACAACAACAATCTACTGTTTCACGGGGTTCTTAGAATTTTCTTCCTTCTGCATACGATTCTGATCCACTAGAAATAGATAGGCCTAGTTTTTCTCAATGATGAATGAATTACCCTTGTTATTGATGTTAATTAGTAATGGTAGAAGAAGAAGATATACATAAAATGAACGTCGGGATGGTGTTAGTACTATTACTACAAGAGTCGACAGAAACGTTGGAAGCCATGCCTAGTTTAGTAGTAGTAGTACAGCAGTTGTTAAGGGTATTGATTGCTTCGAATGTTTACTGTGATGGTGAGTTCAACAGTCATTCTGTGACAGGGGTTCTCAACTAGGCCTAGGCTAGACCTATATCGCAGTAGGGAAAAAATGGTTCATTGAATAAACACTGAATAAATTTTACACAACCTTGGCATTACCTTACAGACGCGTGTGAATGCTTTTTATCTCGGTAGGAATAACTCGGGAGATCGCTCGGTTACAATTTGTTACTTTTTGTTAAATTTAACTTCACGTGTGAATCGGGTATAAGATGTAGCTACTGTGTAGGTTAAGTCAGTAATAAAGACGGGCTCCCTTTTGATGGTTATTAATTGGTTACAAAGTGACAATGCAAACATTCAGATTAAAATTTAAAGAAAAAAAATCAATGTCTAACCCAAATAAAAAAGCTTTACATGTTGATGTACCATTTATCTTTTGAAATATAAATCCCTTATTACATTACATAAGCCTGCAGTATCTTCATTTAAAAGGTAAAACACAAACTTATTTAACAAATTACCTACCTGTTAGGGCAGTAATTCAGATGGGATTCAAATGCTCTTTCTCTACCGATGTTCCACATGTGCGTTGCTTTTCTTCCCTATCATGGATCCTTTTCTATAAGTAAACCATGGCCAATGTCAATCTATTGGAAGATAGATAATTAATTACTATTTATTAGTAAACTTTCCTCCAACATTTGCGCATGCTATTAGTATTTGACTGTCAATGGACATCCATGGAAAATATTCACACCCCAGGTAATTATACCATATTTTTTGGTCAACAAAAATATAATTATGCTTGAAATATTTCAAACTTTAATTATAGCATAATTGAAAACTTCCTATGTGTAGAATATGAGTATATTAAAAAGTTCCAGCTATTGATGTTTTTTGGCATGATTTGTGTGGGTGTCAAATTTAAAATACCAATTATTATATATTATTGAGGTCAGACAGTTGACCGTTAACAAGCATTCATTTTGAAAAAGAGTGAAGTATATTGAATTGTGCAAAAAACAAGTCTCAATATTTTTGGTTGACACACAATACAATAATTTAAATAAATGATATTTAAAGAAAAAATGCATTTTTTTTTTCAAATTTCCTGCCTTGGGCAGGACTTAGGCCTAGTCTAGGGCTTAGCTAGGCTAGGTACTGTGTACTGTAGACCCTAGCTAGGTTAAGGAAGAGGCCTAAGCCTAGGCTAGGACTAGGTAGGCAAAAAAACCAACGATTTCTCTTTTGTGTCCCAACGCCCGTACCTGACCTGTTGCACTTTTTTTACTCAATTCTTAGGTTTAGCCTAGGGCCTGGCCTAAACAGTACAGTATACCAACAGAAACACTGCCACTGCACTGACTGACGAACTGACTGAACTAAACTTGATACTTAGCTACAAAATTATACCTAGGCTAGAATAAGTAACTAGGCGTATATATGTGGAAGGCGTACATTTATGGACGAAAGGAGATTATTTTTTCTTTACTTACCACAATACTGACTGTGCATAGACATTGGCATGGTGCGGACTCTTCTCCTTTTTTCCCAATGGCAATATAATAACAGGCCTAGGCCTAGCGGCTATCCTAGGCTAGGCTGAGTTTTAGCAGAAGAACGTCCAAAATCCTTATTCAATCCAGAATAGTACATGACATTGCTACAGGTATTAACCATTTCAATAAAATATCAGTTTGCGATTATTACTCCAATTATTACTGAACAAAAGGAGGACACAACAACAACAAAGGGAGCAGCGAGCGAGAGAGATGTCGATGAAGACCATTCCGTTAGCTTTCAAATTTTATCACCCAGTTGTGGAATGTACCATGTTTAATAGAGGGGAGGGGAAACAACCTAAGACCAGTTATAATTCTTATTAAATGTATTTGTATGAAACCTTCTGTAATTAATCATTTGTTTTGTGTAAGACAGTATAAATTTTATAGCATTTAATTTCATACACTAAATAATTTACTAAATCGTACAACTCAACTCATAAATTGGACCCCTATCACGGCCTGATCCATTGTCTGGTTATTGAAAACGATGTCTATCTCTCCCATCTGGAACGATTAAAGTAGGTTTTAAGTTACACAACAGTAACTTTAAAATGGTCACAATGGTGGTTTGTGGTTAAGGATTTTATAAGATTAAGTATTTGTTACAAATATGTGCATTAAATTCATTTTTCATTTCAATTTTAAAATGTG